ATTATTGCTATGCAGCCATTGAAAAAGTTACAGTCCAAACAGCATCCCCCTACATCACCTGAACGGTTCCTGGTAGACTCTGTGGTTTACACCATATACACACTGATATTCATGAAAACTTACCCGCAGTATGGGCTTAAAGTGCTGGCTATAATAACAAACAATTAAGTTACCTTATTCACTTGGACGAGAAGCATCATGTCAGCTTCTTGCCTGGTATGAATAGGACTCAACCTTCACGCGTGCCTATCTTATTAAAAGGCAAATACTAGCTTATGGTGCCTCTCAGCCCTGATCTGGATGACCTACTGTATTACAATATTAATCTTGTTGCCAAAAATAGCCTTCTGAGGCAAACATACTGATGGTCTCGTGTCCTGTACAACCACCATGTCTTCACATGAGATCAAAACAATTAATTTCTGTATCTCCAGAGGTAAAAACAAAACAAAACCAAAACCAAAAATAAATCCCCCTCACTTCTGCGAAGCCATTAAGCAAATACAAAAATGTTGAAGATTTACCATTACCATTTAAACCTAAATTCTACAAAACATTTATTAGCTTGATTGCCTTCTCAACTCAAAACCCAGTGATTTAATTTTGCTGTCCTATTTACATTTTTATTCATAAAACGAAAATGATGATAGTCATAGGAAATCATAGTCCTCCAACAACAATATTTACAGGTTTTTTTCTTAGTATAGTTAAAGCTATGAGCAACATACAATAACTGTTGAAACAGCATTAGGCTGCAGACCGTTCTGCTAGACTCCATCTGTCCCAGTAAACCCACTCTAAATTTTGGTGCCAGATTATTTTGTCAATGCAGTTTTGTCTCGGTAACTGCATCAAAACCCTTTGGTCAAACATTCAGTAACACTACACTTCCATAATCATCTGCAGTGTATATTGTTAGAACAAAACTTTTTGTAGTAATACATAAATTGTTTAAAACGCTGTCAAACTACTACAAGTATTTCACTTAGAAAAGAAAAAGAGCACTGGACTACAAAGTAGTGGGTGTCACTTTTCTAGAAGCATTATTAATGGGGACTATTTTAGTCTTCAGCGATGGGGAATGACAGGCTGTAGCGTTTCTTCAAGTTAAGAATAGAAAATAACTGTACTTGCAAGAATTCAATTACTCTGCATTAAAGCCGCCATGGGGTTACTGTACATTTAGACATCAGAAAGTCAGTAAATTATTTTTCTATAAATTAATCTCTCAAAGTTGATTTTTTTTTCTTTCTGTTCTGAATGCCAAACTCCTGACTGCTTCTCCACCACAGAGACTTCATATCTGGATAGCCGACATCTGTAAAAACATTTCTAATGAAAACACTACTAATACAACCCCCTGGAGAAACAAATGAAATGAGATCTAAGTATGCAGCCGCCTTTCTACAGTTCTGCCCTGAACAATAGCGGGGCTGGTGCTTCCTATCCAAGACTTGACACAGGTCATGATCATTTAGGCACAGTAGTAACAAAATAAATAATTGCATAAATATGTAATAACTAGTACAAATATTTCAGTAGCACTTAGAAGATACGATAAAGGACTTCCGTCTTTAGCTGTGCATTAAGGTTTATCTCGGTGGATGGGAGGAAGAAGCATTCAAACTGCAGTAAAGGAGAACTACAGACTGAATACTTGAAAGCTCAGTGCCAGACATAACATTGCCTCTTTTCTGTAATAGCAATTTTGAAAGTGTATTAGTGTTAAAAGTGTTACATAACTGCTAAAATATTATAGAAACAGTGGTTATAGCTTCACCCCAAAAAACAATATAGTGGAAATATCAATAATGTAACTAATGTATTTAAATAATCCCCATACAAAGCAAAAGGGTGCTGTCTTAATTTTAAAATAATTTGTCATTTTTTTCGTAACGTATTTCACTGCTTAAGTAAGAATTTAGAGGCAATTTTTCTGACAAACAGTCAGACTTTGTAACAGTTGTCAAAATCTTAGCTAATGATCCATATCAAGGTATATGAACATATTGCATCCAGATTTGCTGCTTTACTTTTAAACCAGTAATAAATAATTTCAGGCAACTCTTTGCTACCAAAGATCAGTAAGTCCCCACCACCGTAAGAACAATTAGCACATACAGAGACATGAGGGGATCCTCTGGCTCAAGATTATCAGAAAAACCCCCAACGTTTCTAAATGCTCTCAGTGTTAGATGGGCTAATGCTTTTTCTTTAAAAGACTATATTGGACAAATACAGGACATAATCAAAGTTTCCCTATTCAAAGCCAACTGCAAGTTCTGGGCCAGAACCGTAAGACAGATGAAGGTTGAAACTGATCTGGCCACAGGACAGCCCCCACCATCGCCCCCAGCTCACATTTGCTAATTTTTATGGGCATTTGGGTTCACTGAAACATACTGGTAAGAGTACTTGTTTTGAAATAATTCCATCACCTTCTCCAGGGAAATCTGGGTGCACTAAAATCAATAGCAGGAGTTCGCCAGAATGCCAGGAGGGCCTAGATGCTGCTCCTCTTCCCACCCTCTTTTGCAAGGCGTATGGAACCAGGACTGAACCCGTAAACACAGGTTTCATTTCCAGCAGGCTTTTTACACTGGGTAAATTAAAATAAGCTCATTATCTCACACATCTGTTTCAAATAGCATTTTTTTTTTGCCATGAAAAGAGATTAAGATAAAATTTAAGATATTTTTGATTAAAAATGGTACTTGGTCTTTCCAGTAAATAGATATAACCTTTAAAATGGTTTTGAGGCAATAAAAAGGCAAATGGAACCCAAAATAAAAAAATATTTTAAAAAAGAGTAATATTGAGCTCTTCTCTACTGTAGATATGTACTAAAAATACAGACTTTTTTATGGAGTACTTCAGATTGAAGTACATACACAAACTGTGCTGAAAAAAACAAAATTGAAACATTAAGTTTAAAGTATCATTCATTTTCTCACTTTAATACAAACAATGAATACTAAGGGTAATGAAGGGTAACAAAATAAAAATGCTAAATAAGTTTATTAATAATCACAAAGTTCATGCTTCTCACCTTGTAAGTAGTGATCTTTCAAATGCCAAAATGATCCCAAATATCTTAAATTATCAGACTTGTAAATGTTTCTTTTTTTAAGAAGTGTTCTACCTTTTACTTTACTCATTACTTTGATTTACTAGAAATAAAACTCATCCGAGTAATTGCTTTATAAACCCCACAGCAACAGCTCTCAAAAATGTGTTCAAATACATAGTTGAAAAATAAACAAAATCCTTCATACTTACTTAAAAGTTTCAATTTTATTTAAGTAACACACCTGAAAAGTCATAGAGTAGCAGTTGAAAAATATCACCAGTTACAGAAATTTAGTCCAGACAATCTTTGTGATCTTTAAGTCTAAGGCACCCTCCAGCGTTTGAAGCAGAAACTACACTTCCAGCAAGTGAGCAAACATTTGGAGAAAAACGGTGTGAGCAAGTCTCCTGTCAAGACAGAAGCTCCCTGATTCATTACAAAAGCATTTCTTAAAGTCTAGTACTGATAAGTGATAATTCCTCACAGAACATGATCTCTATGTTTACATAGCTTGTTTAAGACTTTTCTGAGGAGCCTAAGCTAATAGTTTATTTAACAGAAGACAGGCCCACGGTAGGGAAGAGGAACAAGAATGTACCTAAAGACAAAGCCAGACATAATACAAAAAAATAATTTATAAATTATACCATACAAAACAGGAAGGCCACAGTTATGCAGCCATGTCCACAGAAGTTCACTGATTTTATATAAAAAAAAAATTTGCATTGGTATTTTTGTTCTTTCTAAAAGTAACAAATCTTAAGATGTTTTCAGTACTTGAGATTCAAACAGAGAAATGTTTGTGCCTCCAGGACAGACAAAAATGCCTATTGAAAGGACAGTGTTGTAAGCTAATGTTACGATTTTAAAACTACTGAAAGAGAATGACAGCTGGAAACCAGAAGTTTTTCAACTGTAATTATGCACAAACTAGCATTTCTTGTGGATTTCTCTTCTAGCATTTACACCTTGAGACTGTGCCCTGTTCACACTTCCACAATCAAACAAAACCTCACATACAATTTTAGTGGTAATCAGATAACAGCCTTTGAAATGTATGTTTAAGTAACTGCACAGTGGTTAGGTCTTGATTAAGGAAAACATTACCTAGAAAAGCTCTTGTTTTATGTATGTGTTCAGAATTTAAAGTGTATAAATTAATTGAAATGCGCTTCAAGTACTTGTCTTATTCAGGATGGACGCAAGAATGCTTGTATATTTCTGTGCACTAGGTCTTCACCCTCCTGGCTTCACCCTTACAGGCCTATGTGCAAAACTGGTACAGCAACAAAGGGTTTTTCATCATGCACTATCAGGCTAGTGACTTAATAACTGGCAGAGTTATAGTTGCATACGGTTTGAAAGCTTCCCCCCCCCCAAAAAATTGTCTCTTTTTTACTACAGAACTTTTAGTTATCTTAACTGCAGCTGGAGAAGCAAAAATTGATTACCTTAGCAAAAAAATGACATTTGGTCAGTGCTGCACTTCGGTTCAGAATTAAGAGTTCTATCAGGAAAAACAGCTGAAGTCACTTTTATCTAGCATAGCTGAAGAGTTCTTTTTAAAAATTGAAAGAAATTACGATGATATTGACCAAAAAATCTTAGAATTAATATTAAAAATATTACAAATAAACCTAGCCAAAGTGATGCAAAAAGAGGTAGAAAGCATTTCAGAAGTACACAAGATAAATATATTTACATATATATACACACACAAGTATAAAAACATTAAAAAACAGCCATGACCTCTTTAAGACTTAAAACTCCGCTTAACTTCACACGTTGCAAGTATTTACATTGACTTCAAAAAGAGCAAACAATAGTGTGCAAAATTAAGCATGACCTTACAGAGTAAGCAGTACAAGTTTACTAAAAATCACTCACTCTGTTCAAATTTTGGCTCTTTTTAACAACTTTTTGTATGCTTTTATTTAGTGATGTTCCTTTTTGCAATAGCTTCTCTGATTTGACGATCAAGTTCACTTACAATATGGTCTTCATGGTTATATACTCCTGTTCGCAACAGGGTATCCCTCTCTTCTATCAGACGAGAGAGATAATCATCCGTGTTCTCATTTAATTTTCTGGAATGAAGACTATCCACTCTACCAGCAGAATTATCTCTAACATCTTGCAATTGCCTTCTCTCTTCTTCTTGGTGCTTTAGCCTGATGTTGATAAAATGGAAAGAATCAGAGGATGAGCCATATTAAACACCGCTCTGATCATTTTCATATTAAGTCTTTACCTACTGAAGTAGTTAGTAAAAGAAATCTATGAAAAGTAACAAGTTATCCTCTCTCTAGGGAAAAACAACTGTAAGTAAAAGAAATGTTAATATAACACTTCAATTCTAACAATACCTTTTCTATATGCGCTTGTAACTATAATACTTGCTACCAAGTCTCCTATTTTGATATTGCAAACAGCACTCAAATTAAAAGGGTTCAACATGCAGAACTACTGCAGAAAGTTTCTGGAGGACAACATTAGACAGATTTAAAATTTTAATGTATTCAAAATATGAATAGTACATGCCTCTTCCTTTTCTTAAAGCAGAAGTTATCTTTAGAACTGAACTTTTAAAACAGAAAAAAGCCTGGTGTTACACAACTATGACCATAACACAAAAAAACAGGGTACAGTGGCCTTAACCGTAGATTTTCTATATTGCAGTACTGTTGCATTTTATAAGCAGGCAATTTTTACTCAAGGGACACTAAACTGTGTTCTTTCACTGGACTTACAGCCAGTTACAACCTTGATTTAAACTGAACCTTCTCCCATTTTGAGGCAGACAGCAAGAAGAGAGGGGAGGGGGTGGAAAAAAAATGAACCCTGCAAATGCTTTTATACCTGTTAAGTTCATTTCTGATATCCTCCAGCTCTTGTCGGTCTGTTTTCCCCAGCTCTTTCTCTTCTGCTGCCAAATAACGCAACCTCATGTGTTCCAGCTCTTGTTGCTGCTTTTTGAGGTGAGCCATTGCATTTTCTTGTTCACGCTAATGTAGGAAAGGATGAAAACATAATTCAGCTCACTACACGATTACATGTAAAACCACTGATTATAGCAAAATGAGCAAAATTTCAGGAATGAAGTCACAACAAGTAAGTCTCCAGCAGTATTAGAAATGCCGGAGTTGAACAGAATGTCTTAGCTGTTCATATCTATAATGCAGTAAGACCAGTGACTACCACAATTATAGTAAACCTGTCCAGGCAGGATCAGCTGAAGCCCAGTCATAGACACCTTTCCATTAACAAAATAGCAAAAATATTACAAACCCTTCTACAAACTCTGGCTTAAGCTGGTGAACATAAAACTTGTAGAACTGCTCAAGATACTGAGATTTATTCATTTCCTACATGGTATTTTAACTTTTTTTGAGAAATAAAAACCGGAAACATGCTAAATAGTTGCAGGAAACTTCCATCATCAGCACCATAGTGCCTAGCGTCAAAGCTTCTTGTTCTTGAAGTTCTTGAAGTTCTACTTTTTGAAATTGCCATTTGCAGTTAAAAAATACGCCTTGAAAACAAAACTCTGGTGAGATTTCCTTTTACATTTGTCTAGCTCTATGTGAAACATCAGACAACTTCTTCTGTGAACTTAATCCAATTAATCTATGTAATCTAAAAGTTTACTTGGTTCTATATTTTTTTAAAGCTCTATGTAGACACCATAACAAAACTAGGGCTTCAGCCCACTACCGCTTTATTATAGTGGCTTTATGAGAAGTGTGGTCCTCTCTCCACTTGTTTTCCTCCCAGTCATTTTCCATATGACCTTGTCCACTTACTCAATACAGTCTTGCACTCTGAATGAGACAGAAGACCTGAAGTAAAATAGTATTTGTTCCCGTAGTTGAAAAATGAGGCAGGAGGTTACACAAACATCCTGGATCTAGACATACTGTGAAGTGCAAGGTTACCTTTGTAATTTTGACATTGCTTTCATCCGAAATATTTGACTGTTAATACAATCAGCTTTGTATTCATTGTAGGGGTAAAAAAGATAATTTTTTTCTATGTGTGACTGTATTCATTATAAGTTATATTCATTAGGTTATATTCATCAACCTAATAATACTTGGAAGAGTCTAGTCAGTCAGTTTCCTGAATCTCAGTTCCCAGCATCTTAAGCACTCCCTGTTGATGATTAGTAAGTGATAAAAAAAGCTGAATTTCACAAGGAATTTGAATAAACAAAGACTCTAATTGGTAATGTGAACAAACAATACAAGAAGTACGTGACAAGAAGTCACAGCATGTACATAACCCCAAAATGCTTTATTTTTATACCAAATCTAATACACCACCCAGGCAAATTAAATGTTAGAATTGCAGTGAGACAGGCCATAAAGCTTGAAGAACAACTTATTAAAGGGACACGTTACTAATAAAACCAGAACCAGGAATCCTGCCACAGAGTCTACAGCTGACAGATGACTGAAGTATAAAAAAAAGTACTTGGGGAAGATAAGGCCATAATTCCATCCTTCCACATCAAGAGTTCATTGCAGAAGAGAGGCACCCTTTTTTCTGCTGGACAGGTTTGAAAAACAGTCTCAGGCAGAAGCTGAATAGGTTTTAGAACAGGAATCTGCAAATACATGCCGCAGATATTAGCAAGTCACTACAGCCAGCTGATATTTATCCAAGAGTTTTCAAGAGTTCTCGGGAAATTCAAATACAAAGTTACAAGACTGATTGGAGGTGTAACCTGTCACCAAAATTAGTGTTGACACCAGAGGAATAATTATTTCCCCATTTTTAATTTTATTCCTTCTTTAAACAGAGGCCTTAAGAATATCCATGAACTACCAGCAGGACTAACTTTCACAGTGGCCAAACTGGTTGAAACCATAACTAAAACCAAAACTAACAGGGTGTATGGATGCACCAGGAAGAAGGAACCCAGCTTTTGTAGAAAAGTAACACTTCCAACCAGTTTTGTTGGGGTTTTTTTTGTTTTGTTTGGTTTTTTTTTAAGTCAACACAGTAAAGAAATCACCTACAACCACATACAAAACTAAGCTGTCACTAAGGAAGTCCTCTCAGATTAATCAGGATTAAGAATAACAGAGAAAGGACAGCAATTTATCATTTCCACAACAAGAAGGTAACAGTGGACTCCATGAAAATCTACTCTTTGACATATTCATAAATGAGGAAGTCATTCTGGAATAAACAGTTTGCTGGCGACACAAAATTATTCAGTGGGGAAAAAGTGGATGTGGAAGAGTGGGATATTATGGGGACAAAACTATGAGTTAATTTGAAAAGGAAACAGAAAAATTAAGAATACATCCACTGATGTCTACTAAACACGACAGCCTGAATGCAACTGCTGGCTCGTGATGCACTCAACTAATGGACTGAGGGCAGCTGAAGGATATTCAAAGATACCCAAGCTCGTTTCTAGATCTTGTGCATCTACTGCTGGTCTCTGTATGGGCTAGATTGATATTTCACATCAGTTGGCCAGCCTGTTTTTTCCCCACTCGCTGAAAGTCAAAACTAAGTAAATTCCAACTAGAGACATGATCCAAGTTACTAAAACAGTGCAAATTAATCACTTAAGCAATATACCAAACATGTCATGAGCTTCTTAATCACAGAGTATTTTGAATTAAGATAGACATTTGTATTTTCAACAATGCTGCAGATCAAGCATTACTGTTGAAATATTTAAAAAAAAGACATAGGGTGTGGGGTTTTTTTAGTTTGTTTGTGGTTTACTTTTTTTTTAATTAAAATCCTGGAGAATATCACAATGGTATTCTCTGGTTTCCAAATATCTGGATAAGCAACATCATCCAGATAGTAAAGCCAAATTTGAAGTATACAATGGGCTACAAGGAGGAATGGAATTATCTTAACTATTTGATAGTTGTACTTACCTTGAGTTGTTTGCTTTGCTAAATGCAGGTGGTAAGACAAAATGCTGAGCATGAGCTAGTCTCAAATAAGTTTTACTGTTTTTATACCAACCTAAGTTATAGAACAAGGAAATAAATGCAATGCAAATCTGATTATATTACTCAAGACGTACAAGTATGAGGACAGGCTAATATTTACTTCTTTTCAAGATCATCACTATTCATAACACCTTCTGAGTTAAATTATTTTCAAAATGGAGCAAGTTAAAATATTGCTGTGTTTCAGGAAAAAAGAAAAAGGTTGAGATCAGTATCTTACGGCAAACATAAGACCTAAAATTACAGATGTGTTACACCTCCTTTGTAAAGTTCTATTTAGCCTCAGGAGTGTAGTTGCTGTGCTGTACATGTAGAAGTCTAGAACTTTCTACCTGTCTGTCCACACAGGTAAAGAATCCAGTAATTGGATCTGGTGACTAGCTACTTTTCCTGATTAGAAAACAAAGAAACTTGCTACACATATTACTACACTAGATGCAGTACAGCCTGCACATCCTGTTTTCCAGTTTTGGAATTAATTTGTCAAGTACAACCAGGTTTTCCTGTTAACATTATCTAACAATGGCAAGAGTCTTGAAGGCCACACAATAAATTATGTAAGAATGCAATTCACAAGCATATTGCCTCGAGTGGGGAAAAAAAATACCCTCATTAGTGTGGAGAATGAGGCTGGCATCTTCCTCTTAGAGGATGTCAAAAAATTTAAATGTTTTACAGAAGAATGTTTAACTGCTGTTCTCTCCTTTTCTAGTCTTTCTACCTATGTCAATTTCTAGACAGGATTAGCGTCAGTCCAATGCATTGTTGCAGGTTGTGAGGAAAGGATTAACTTCAGAAAAAAATCTCCTTGCTCTGCAGTTCAGTTTTTTCATACTCTAATTGTCCCATTTTAAACTAGGATCACTGTCATGGGAAGCTGGGATATTAATGAGTCTGTCCAATTTGTGTATCTCAGTAATTCTACCAGATAATTTTTTTAAAGGTTGTTGGCCAAACATCACCTGAAAACTGAATACTAGAAAAGTAATGCAAAACAGAGTGGCACTTATTACTACCGCAGCCAGACTTCAACAGGCCAGGAGAAAAATATATCCCTGCCCCCTAATGAAACAGATTATAATAAGACACACAATACACACAAATCAAATAGCTGTGACTACGCTGAATAGAAGTCTTCTCCAGTCCTTCAGTTTGTGGAGTGTATAACTCAGATCTACAAGGAAAGATTTTAAAAGTGTTCTTACAGTTGCAGCTTCAGAGGAAAGATATAACTGTGTGCTGACATCTGGGAGTAGAAGTTCCATGACAAGTTGGTATGTTACCATTTGAGGCAGTATAGTTCAATGATCCAGAGGTTTCTGTTGTTGAGCAACTTGCTTACAACAGCAAACTGATAGAAAAACAGGCATTTTAAACAAACCCAGAGGAAAAATATATACTGGAAGTACATATACTGAAGGTTAAAGTCTGAAGCTCAATCAGGCTGAGAAGACAACAAAATATTCCTAATGCTTTCCTATTGATCAGAACTGATTTAATTTAATACCTTGGTCCTTTATGCCCTAATTGAACTAGTTAGTTTCAGAACCATAAGTTTTTTTGATTAAGAAACAGCTTTAGTGATGTTTATAAAACCAAGAAAAGGACAAAAGAGAGAATGATGCAAAAGCCAAAGAGAGATGTAGGAAAAGCAAGGCTTTCCTCAAGAATCCTTTGTTCAGTTCCTGTTCCTTTTGATGTTTTTCTCTGAGAAAAGGAGGCAGGAGACCCGCATGGATGAGCAAGGAGCTTCTAGCAAAACTCAAATGGAAGAGAAAAGTCTACAGAATGCGGAAAGAGGGACAGGCCACTTGGCAGGAATACAGGAACATTGTCAGAGCATGCAGGGAAGCAATGAGGAAGGCTGAGGCCCACCTGGAATTAAATCTGGCAAGCGATGTGAAAGACAACAAGAAGGGCTTCTTCAGGTACATCAGCAGCAAACGGAAGACTAGGGACAATGTGGGGCCACTGCTGAACAAGGTGGGTGCCCTGCTGATGGAGGATGCAGACAAGGCAGA